TTCCGTTTCATGCAAACCGACCCTAACTTTAGTAATTTTTTGTATCATCCAAAAGAACAAAAACTTTACTTGTNAGATTTTGGCGCGAGTAGAGAATATCCGAAAGAATTTGTGGATCTTTATCNGAAAATGGTGTGGGCGTGTTCCGAGAAAGATAAGGAGGGTGTTATTGAGTAAGTTAAGTATCCAAACATTGTAATAATATATTGAACGAAGTAACTTTAGATACTCGAAGAGACTTGGTTTTCNAACGGGGGATGAAAGCAAAAGTATGCTTGATGCACACTGTTCTGCCGCTTTTGTCGTGGGCGAACCTTTTTCTGCCGGATCTCTTTATGACTTTAAAAACTCTGACATTGCGAGAAGAGTGGCCGAGTTTGGGCGAACTATGCTTCAGGAACGTTTATGTCCACCACCCAAGGAAGCGTATTCACTTCACAGAAGACTCTCTGGGGCTTACCTTATCTGTANGAAGTTGGGTGCTGAGATACCTTGTCGAGAATTGTTTCTTCGAACAATGGAATCATCCCAAAATGGAGAAATTCTATGCGCCTGAGTCAACAACAATAGAGAGAAATGTTGGAGTCCATTTCTTCTAGATTTATCTCTCTTATGATTCATTTTTCTTTATCGGCAGGAAGAAAAGCTTGCGGTTGTCTTGTAGACAAGATTTTGATTGGGTTGATTTGCGATGAATTTTGTGAAGAATAGAATTTGGGGTGTAGTTCATCATGTCTTATGAGCATCAACAGTTGGACCCTGGAGCTGTAGAGGACTCTTTGGCACCTACTAGACCAATTTGTCAACACGTGGATTGGTCTAAGATAGGTCTTACTCCAACAAGACTACAATTTATTGGAGAACTAGTTTCAGAGTTCATTGGTATTTACTTGCTTATTTTGGTTGGGGACAGTTGTTCATGTATGGCTTTGCTCTTCTCACCTAGTCCTTATTTGACATCCTATTGGGGAGTTTGTATCACATGGGGTTTAGCAGTCACTTTTGCTATTTATGGCACGGGTGGTGTCTCAGGCTGTCATATCAATCCTGCAGTCACTGTAAGCTTTGCACTCTTCCGAGGTTTTCCATGGTGGAAAGTGGTGCCATATATTATTGCACAGTGGATGGGTGCATTTGTAGGCGCTTTTTCTGTATACAATATGTATTTTCCCATATTTACAGCATATCTCAACAGCAACAATATTACCAAGCAAGATTCAGTCACTAGCTCAGAATCTTTCTTTACTTCGGTCAATGAGCATCTCACCAATTATGATGGTTTTATTGGACAAATATATCAAACTGGCATTTTATTATATGGAATCTTTGCCGTTACTGACCCATTCAATCCCAACTCGTTTAGTCACAATGGATTGAAGGCATTGCTTATTGGTTATGTAGTTGCAATGGTTGGTGGTGGATTTGGCTTTCTTGAGGGTTTTGCTATCAATCCTGCAAGAGATTTTGGTCCAAGGGTGGCTGCTTATGCTCTCGGTTGGGGGAAGGCTGCCTTTCCTGGTTTCCATAATTATTGGTGGGGTCCTATTTGTGGACCTTTGATTGGAGGTCCTCTTGGTGCATTTATTTACGAAGCCTTTAATCGTCCTTTTATGCCAGGAGTGCAAGTTCACGGAGATACCCCTCTGATGAGTGCTTGGAGCCGTTTGGTTATTAAGCTTTTCCCTAAAATGGCGTTATATCATTTTCAGAAGGGAGAATCAGAAAAGTCCAGCATTTTCATCGAAGATAGATTCCATCAGGATATGCATGTTAATATGGATGTTGGTCCAGGTGGAACAACACAACAAGAGTCTGGTATAGAAGGTTTGGATAGAACTTTGTAGTGTTTTTTTTAGTTGTGATAGAACCTAGTTGTTGAGTTGATCAATAGCTGCTATTTACGAATTCTTGTTTATTTTGATTGTCAAAAAGAAATTTAGAAAATAGGAAGAGTTATTTTGAATGTAGAGAGTAATATGAAGTTGACGCTTTTATTATACAACACAAATAGGGTTACTGAGCAGACTTTAGAAGATCCACTTTTGTAGAATGAATAAGGCTTGACGCTCTCCATGATATTACCGAATATAGTTCAGAGCAGTCTCTCAGTTCCCTGTTCTCGTCTCTAACCTTTCATAGAGTGAGTGGCGTGTCATTCGAGACTGGTTGAACTAAGTACCAATTTTGTGTGATGGAAGGTTGTGGAAATGGTTATGCAGTTTTTAATAGCAGACTTTTTTCCAAACGCCGCTAAAAAATACCGTATGTACTTCACTTACAATTTATTTATACGGATAGACAAATCAAACAGAAATGAGGCATTTCACTTTTTGCCAAGTCCCTTTCATGAAACAAACATAGTGTGCAGAGTCAGAGTGTTCAAAAATTGCAAATGACAGCTATAAAAAAACTCTTTGGAAAGAAGTTTTCAGAAAACTCTTTGCACTGTGAACACTCTACAAGTTAGTTTTAAGGTAGTTGGGCGAGACGCTTCGATATTCCACGAATTTCAGTTCGTAACAAAGACTTTGCTTTGCTATTATCCAAACTGAGATTCAAAGGCCGAAACTGTTTACTAGCGGCACTTCTTGCGGTCTTGATGTTCTTTTCATCCTTTCTAAAATAAGGAGCCAGTTTTAGTGCCAAGTCATAACGACTGACCGGTTCATCCGAACACAAGTGCAACAGTCCCCGCGCAGGATGACCTGGAACGGAAACTTCACATAAAGCACTCCCCAAATCTTCTGAGAAACTCATGTTTCGTAACTCATCAGTAAAGATTTCGATGTTGCTCTCTGGTTCAAGTGCATCGAGGATAAAGCGAACTGCTTTTCCGGGAGGCTCCAAAGTTAGAACCTATTGATTATCAGTAAAACTACCGTATAGATTGAAAGGAAAACTGACCAGAGACGTACGACAAATGAGAATATCTCCTCCTAATCTCAACAGCTGCTCTTCCATTTCTGCTTTGCAAGAAGCATATGGATTAGTTGGACGGATAGGATCATCTTCCTTATATCTTCCATTCTTCAACTTGCCATCAAATACTTGGTCAGTAGAAACGGCTATAAATCGAGCACCAATCATCTTGGAGGCCTCAGCCAAAGCAACGACGTTTTCAACTATGCCTTGTCGAAGGAAATTTGTATACTGGGAACTCGCACCTTGGTGAGATGGAACACTACAACAAATAACACTTGTGGGAGAAATTTCTAATAACAGTCTTCGTATACTTTCGTGGTCGTTGAGATCCAAAAAGTTCCAAACTGCTACAGAGAACAACGGATGAGTATTCGTTGGTACATGACGAAAATAAGTAGCATAGATCTTTTTGTCTCTCCAAAACGGTGAGTTTGAAGAAGCTTGAACAGTTGCACTCCCTAGTTCTCCAGTTGCTCCTACTATTAATAAACGTTCGTACTTACAATTCAAGGTAACCATGAAAATGGTCGAAAACAACTCAATTGTTCCTCTTCATGATGAAAAATGGAGCGAGAGTTGGCTCTACAAACCAATGCGATTCCAACAATAGGAAGAAGAGGCGTGTGAAGTTTTCAAGTTTACGAACGAAGAATGCTAAGGTATGAAGAGCAGAAAAATACTTTTCCGGAGTTTTCATGTCGTTTAGGAGAGCTGTGTGGGTCGCCGTGGTATTCTAGTGACCTGTTCTCCTACCCAGGAAGCTGCCTGTCGTAGGGAGGCGTACCAACTATTACTTGAGTATTTAGAAATCTTTCTTGAAAAGGAACCGAACAATTCAGTTGTGAACCACGCATTATCGTTAGAGGATGAACTAGAGCAACTTCGGAAGGAACCTAGCAAAGATATCAGTGTTAAGAACGTAGATTTGAACTTGGTTTATGCTCTAGATGTTGGTGTAAAAGGCTCAGTGTTCTTTGCTTTTCAGCCAAGTATTGTCTTGGACCCCTGTGTGTTGGTTTACAAGATAATGCAGGATGTGGAAATGACGAAAGTGAGAAAGTGCAGATATTCTGTTCGGTTTATTCCCGTTGATGGAGTATGCTATGCGCGCAAAGAGGAAGTGAGCCATCTTTTTCGTGAAATAGCTGAGAGAAAAGTTAACGCTTTGGCTGCTCTTGAGAAAAACACGTTTGCTGTTGTGTTCAGAAAGAGAAATAATTCCGGTGTTCATCGTGACGAGTTTATTGAAGCTATTGCTGAACAAATGCCCGCAACATTTCATGTAAAATTGAAGAACCCCGATTTCTCTATTTTGGTTGAAGTACTTAAAACATCGTGTCTTGTTACTGTTGTAGAAAACTATGAACGTTATTGTAAATTCAATGTTCATGAACTGTGGGAAAGACTTGGGCGTTGATAAGTGTCTGACATCATAGATAGATTCCAGCATAATGATAATGGTTTATGAATTTGAAATTGTTCCTTTATGTACATGTATAATGACATGGTGAAAATCTAATAAAACTTATTTCATTTATGGAAGTTAGACAACGTTTTCCAATTGGACGAAGGAACGATTGATTCGAAGAGATCCAATGAAAAAATGGCTCAGCGATCGTTGAAATTGTAAGATTGCCCACGTAAGATCGAAGCTATGAGCAAGACTCGTAAGTGAACGTGATTACTTTCGTAACATTTCTCTCAAAGTTATAGTTGTTCCCTTGCAGCTCCAGTGGAAAAAAGGAGGAGACAATGTTTATGTTGCTGGAACGTTCAACAATTGGACTCCCGTGGCATTGCGAAAGAAAAACGACGGTTCTTTTGAAGTCACGTTGGAAGTA